TTTTACCTCTGGTCCTATTAAATAGTCCATGAGATCTCTTTATTTCTATATCCATAGGTAATACACATATATACCTGTTGCTGGTTCCCTCAGGTCAAATGTCTGAGTACACTTAGGATCTACCCTCTGTCCATCTACATAGTTGAGAGGCTGACTGACTTGTGAAGATGATCCAGTCACTGTACACATACATCTATGTTGACATCGGATCAGTGACCTCCACACAATCACAATCATTGTTATCTGTATGAAGAATGTTAAGATTGATTAGCAACTTTGGTATGTCTCGATGATTGCCTAAGATTAGTAACCATATACAAAAATATAAATTGACCTTTTCACATTACATCTTTGGTGGGAAACATTGCTCGTCTTTTTTACACTACCATAAAATATCATACGAGAAGCTCTATTGATAGTCGACTTTATTATTTACAGAATTTTATTGATAGAATTTCCGATTCTTGTGCTTCAATAAGACAATATCGTCAACAATTCATATCCTCGTATTATGGGTTTTCGTGCAATTTAGAATGCATTGTGACGTCACAATTTCCAATGAAAAAGCATGCATAGTATGAATACAAATTTTGATGGCAACTGCCCCAGCTGTATGATATTTTATATAGTCGCCGTCATGTAAAATTGGCACCGTGTTTTTTGTCGAAATTTTTTTAAATATCAGCCGCGTTCACTCGAGATGACGTTTTTCAATAAGCGGAATAAAAATCCTTTCCAAATATCCACAACTGTCCTACCTTTTATTGTGTTTGCACTGTATAATCCTGACCTTCACATTATCCTAGATTGTTTTCAATGGTGGAATCCGACATTGTTATTACCGGAAGTGTTGCCGTGGAGTTTCACGTTCAGGCAATTTGCATATTTTTCGGGGCCACTCGGATCTTTTCATCATTTATAAGGTAAGTCCAGAGAAATATTCTATAGCAGACGATAGACTACCATAAACAAAGAAGAAACTATAAATATTACTGAATTTATCGAACTATAATTATTCCAAACTTAAAATGCCACCTAAAAACAAAAATGTAGTCAGAAACCTACAGGTAAATACTTTTAAACAAAAGAAATAAAAAGAAATACGAAATTTAAACACAAAACAAATAAAAAAAAAAGCAGACAAATAATCTGGGAACTGTTCATAACACAGGCACTTGCTTCTATCCATGGGAAGCCCGAAGGTCGACTGTCCATGTTAATATTACTGAACCTAAGTGTTTAAATGCATAGTAGAATTGCACAAATGGTGCAGGTTTTTCTCTCTCCAAATCAGTGACAACAGAGTGCTGGACAGTAAGTCCCTGAATCTCTGTTCCTTTACCTATGACTATGTCCATCCCTATCAATCAGAACTTGAAAATTTTAAACCTACCTTATACACATACATTTAGCTGACTCAATGTCAACCAGTCCAGTCTTGAACCCTAATCATTAATGCTGTGCAACATGATTAAATTTAAAGCTGCAAAATCAATTTTTCAAGTATGCAGTAAAAATCAAAATGAGATCAAAGACAAACCCACAACCTCTTGAGAAATCATACTTCACAGATCATTAATATCAATGACACAAAAGCAAATTGTCATGAAATTGGGAATGATACAGAGAATGTGTGAAAGAGACAACAACCCAATCAAAGAGCTAAAACAGCCCAACAGTATAACAGTTACTTTTTCTGGTTACACTAGGGGAGTAACCATGTCACTTCAAAAGTGGTGGGTTGGGGGGAGGGGGGGTATATTTTTTTCGACAATAACAATTTAATTATTTTTATTATTTTTTCTAAATTTAAGGTATCGGGAAATCTGGATTCAAAATTTTTGTTCTGCTTGACAATATTTTTTTCTTCATCAAATTTGGAATCAGAATACTTTTGTAAGAAATAAACATACCCCCCCCCCTCCCTTTTAATTTAAATATTCACATAGTATTTTTGAGAAACAGGCCTTTAATTTTAATATTTCTAGCTTCATTCATGTTCACCTTAAAAATAAAGTCAATAAAATTCAAATTATCATAATTATAGTAATCTGTTATACTATATAAAAATTAACAACTATATGCCACTGTACGGCCTTCAACAATGAGCAAAGCCCATACTGCATAGTCAAATATAAAAGACCCTGAAATGACAATTGTAAGACAAATCAAACCAGAAAACTCCATGCCTAATAAATCTACAAACGAATGAATGAAAAAATACGAATATGTAACACAGCAACAAACAACAACCACTGAATTACAGGCTCCTGACTTTGAATAGGCACATACATACAGAATGTGGCAAGGTTAAACATGTAAGTGGGATCCCACCCTCCCCTGACCTTAGACGGTGGTGTAACAGTACAATATAAGAACAAACTATAAAATCATGAAAAAAAGGCTGAATTCATTAGATGGATACAAATAGAAATACTTCTAACAATAAACTGCTTCGCTGAGCGCAGCTGGATACGCCTGCATAGGTCCAACCCTGAACAGTTGGGGCAAAAATGAACACAATATTCAAGCTTGATACATGTCTGAATTTGAAGTGTATTAAATATTGGACATATTATAGGTTTCTGAATAAATGTAGTCAAAGAACTTGAAATTGGTTATATGAATTGAATTTATATTCAATTAAAGATTTCTTGCTGTTGTGCAATACACTGTAGTGTTGCGCAATACTTAGTAAATCTGTTGTCAGACTATAAACAATTAAAGTTCAATTAATTCTCAGTGTCATATTAGAAATTTATTAAAATGTAAAGGAGCTTACATCAACAATTCACCAAAGTTTCATGAGAATTGCTGACAGCATTTTTGAGTTATTGTCCCAAAACTGGAAAATCCCCCCTTTTTTAATGAATAAAACCCAATAACTCAGAAATGTAAAATGTAAAATGTGAAATTTATAAAATTCTAAACAAAGCTTACATCAATAGATATAAACAATTCACCAAGTTTCCTAAGAACTACTGAAAGCATTTTTGATTATTTGTCTGAAAACTGGAAAATCACTCTTTTTTTATGAATAAAACCCTGCAACTTGGAAACGTAAAATCTTAAAAATATAAAAATCGGAAGGGAGCTCATGTCAATAGATATAAACAATTCACCACAATTTCTTGACTGATGGTAATGAAGGAATAAACAGCTACCATAATAATACAATTAATAATGTACTCACAAAATTACAACAAAAGAAAAATATAAATACATTGTATCACCAAGAAGTGCTTAGAACAAATTAGAAATCTTTCAAATTATTTAAATTTTACTACAAATGCAGTACCTTAAATCAATTTCACAGCTACATTAGAACAAATATTTTGATATACTAGTATACAACAATAATATATAATTATAAATGATAACTGTTGATTAAGAATGCCATACAACATGTCAGTGTCTTGCAATTATAAATAACCTTAAAAATTGGTTTAATCAGCGACAACATTTATACAAAGATCATTACACGATAACAAAAATTCAACTCCAATCTTTATACATAACTACATGTACATAATTTAATCTTTGTGCACTGTCATTTTTACCAAACCCTCTGCATTTTAAAAAATGAAACGTAACAAGAATCTTATATAGAACAATCACATCCCATTCTTACTATGGATTACCTCCCTTTGATCATACACAAAATGTTGTTGTTTTTTTTCAGACAAAAGAATTATTGAGGAAAGTTTACCAATTCTTTGTGGGAGAGAAGGAGAAAAATAAACCATGGGCACTTCAAAATCCCATTAAAAGACTAGTAAAGGCAACAGGTAAAATTAACTTATTTTTTAAAAAAAAATTTCAGTTTTACATAACTGAAAAAAAAAGAAAAATTACTTGCATAAAATCAACAATTATGATTTTAAAGCAGACAAACTTTGTTGGAGACCTCAATTATTGGGGTCTTGTTATTTTTAATAACATATAATTGGGCAAACCAAATGATGTCTATAGATAAAACTTGATGAAAGATATTTTCAACCTCATAAATATCAATTCATAAGGTCAAGGCATCAATAGCAAATTTGCAGGTAAAACAGTTAACTGTAAATACACATCAACAATTAAACATGAAAATGAAGCGAGGGTCAGATGTACCCTTGGACATGAGTTCCATTCCAATCCTTCCACATACACCAAATATAGTAATTTTAGATGAATCACGTGTACATTAGGATAAGTTTCAGATAATGTAATTGGGGCAAATCTAATAAATATTTAAGTGGTGATAAGAAAACTTGAATTCTAATGCAATTTTTATGTAACAATTTTTTTCATTGGCTAAAAGTTACCGTCAAATCCACAGTTGACCAGGCTTAACTAAGGAGGGATCCGCCATTTTGAATTGATTGGATCAACAAATGTTCGATTACTACAATATTATCGAAAATAAAACAAAACCTACAACCAATTCGCCGTTTTAATGTGATTTTATCCGAATTTAAATCGTAGAGGTAACGTAATAACCTTCAGTTTGTCAGTTTTCATTTGAATGACGTCACACTTAGCCATGACGTTTTTGCGCCAAAATCATTCAAGAAGTTTCGCGGATTTTTTGTATGTGAAATTTATACATTTTGTCAAGCTCTAACGTATTATTTCTTTTTGTATTGCATTAGAATCGGAATAACAGTACTGTAGTTGAAGAGTTGCCACCGTCAATTTTGATTTGACGGTTGAAATTTCCGTTTTACTGTCTCCGCTACGCATCACCAGTAAAACTGCATTTGCGATCGTCAAATCGACAATTGACGGTGGCAACTCTTCAACTACAGTACTGTTATTCCTTAAATATATTGTCAAGCTATGCAAGTCGAACAACAATTTTTTATGACTATGCAAACAAGAAGATATATAAATGCCCCCAACCACCTTGAATCCACTCTATACAATTATATACAAGTTTTTTCTATCATTTTTATGTTATATGCTGAAATACATGGACAATTGAAATTTCAGGGATTAAACCAACAACACTGCAACGTTATGTCCATACAGATGCCAGTGATGATGCTGTGCAGGATGTGGTGAAGGCAGTTCATAAGGCTGCTGTCCAGAAAACTGTCAAGAAGAACCAGAAGTTGGATGATTTCGACAAAGGTGTGGTGAGAAGGACCATCTATGATCTGCACAAGAAATCCCAGTCAGTGACCATGCCAAGTCTGCAGCAAGCTCTGAAAAAGAAAGACATCGACGTTTCCATATCAACAGTGTCGAGAACAGTGCGTTTACTGGGGTTTCGGTAATTAATTTCATTCATAATGTTTGGACTTAATCCATTGTTTTGTAGTACATGTATCTTAAATCATCTCTTTTAACATGTTTAATTATCAATTATATATACACACAAGTCTAAATTGAAAACAACGTTCAAACCTATGATTGCGTTGGATAAAAACCTCTATTTTTGTATGTGTGCATGCAAAACAAATTTCTTGGTAGAGGTGTCTAAATACAGCACAAACAACATAAAAATCATTGATTCAAAAATCTGAAACACTTTTATAACTTGAATTAATGAAATATTTACCTGCATTAAATACACATTTCAGTATTGAAGTACATATCTATACATATTGGAAATATTTTTTTGCTCTGTAGTCATCAGCAAAATAGTCTGAAAACAAATAAACCACAATTCAAATTTATAGCTACAAATTATTAAACATATGTGAAAAATAAATCACATGCATCAATCACTATTATAATGTTCCTTTTAAACATAAACCTGCAGAAGTCTCTTTCAAAATGTGGTATCCTCTTAAAGCGACAAATATAGAATGTTATTGACACCCACTTTTAGTTGAGATTTAAAAGTACGTTCTTTGCGCCCCAATTATGTTTCAGTGTAATAACCCTTAAATGTTATGCAATTGTGAATGTATATATTTATATAATTTTTTTTTTTCAGGTTCTACAAGAATGCGTCAAGCCGAAGATTTGTGTCAGAGAGGGAGGACATCGTTCTCATGAGAATGACATATCTTCGTAAGATACGTAAGTTTAGGCAGCAGGGGCGTCATATTGTATATCTAGATGAGACTTGGTTGAACACTAATCATGTGGTAAAGGGTGACTGGCTGGATGTTCCCAGCACGTCCATGTCTGTCTTTGAGCCCCACTGTAAAGGTACCCATCGGAAAGTCCCTTCTGGCAAGGGTACTAGATTGATAATCCTAGATGTTGGCTCCTCTCAACAAGGCCTAATCCCCGGATGTGGTCTTATATTTGAGTCGAAAACCAACAGCTCTGATTATCATGACGAGATGAATAAGGAGCACTTTACAGAGTGGTTCAGAGATACACTTCTCCCTAAACTGCCTCCTCGGTCTGTAATCATAATGGACAATGCTCCGTATCACAGTCACTTAGATCCTGACTCAAGGGTACCAAACACTAACAGCAACAAGTCAGAGATCTCGGCATGGCTGGAGAAGAGCATTGTTCAGTATGATAAGAAAATGAAAAAGGCCGAGCTGCTTGATTTGGTGAAGCAACACAAACCTCTTCCTAGGTATATTATAGACGAACTTGCATCAGCTAATGGCCATGAGATTTTACGAACACCTCCTTACCATTGTGAGCTCAATCCCATCGAAATGGTTTGGTCTTACTTAAAAGGCTATGTAGCTAGACATAATTCTAGCTGCAAGAAAAAAGACATTATCAAGCTTTTTGAGGAGGCCAAGTCCCATATCGATGCGGAGCGCTGGGCTAAATTTGAGACTCATGTGGAAAGGGAGTTTGAGGAAAAGCTCAGGAAACTTGATGGCATCAGAGACGAAGACGTCGATCCAGTGGTGATTGACATGACGGACAATGACAGCCAAGACAGTCAAAGGACAATTCCTTACATGTTTTCAGAGGGGGAGGAGGAGGGGAATGACGTTGAAAATGACAATGACTTTGAGGACAGTGTCTCTGATACCATCAATGATGCTGATGAGATTTTGTGCAATACCTGTGGTAGCACTGAACCACCCATGCCTATTCAAAAGGACAAGTATATATCCTGGTTTCAGTGTGATGCTTGTGATCAGTGGGTACACAACAGGTGTTGCACAAAACCTGCTCTTGCGAAGAATGTCTGTCTTCGGTGCTTCTCCATTTTTAACCACCGGAACCTCAGTGAACCACTGATTTCGCCACTTGAAGAGATGGAACAGTGATGTCTTTCTTTCATGCCAGTAAAATAGTAACATGAACACTCCATAATTTTTACTTATTAAAGATATTTTTAAATGTAGATTTATCAATAAAATTGAGAATGGAAATGGGGAATACTTATAGCAATGTATAAAATTGATTGTTTTATTCAAAGCATGTTAAGAAAAATGATAAACAGAAAAACTCCTATCTTTTCTATAAAAAGTGATTTCCTATATATAATACCTGTAACTTTTTAAAAACTTAAAAAATGTCTTCCATTAAAATTAAAAAATTAAAAACCTGATGGCTAACTGGCTTAGTTGATCTGTGATTAGTAGTTGAGGGTGGGAAAATAGAATATTTTTCATTTGAATTATAAACCAAAAAAATGTTCCTCCCTACACTATGACACTTGCACATTAAAACTTATTTTACTGTCAAAAAGTTACTTCCAATCATTAACATAAGCAAAGATTATCAATTGTTTTTTTTATATTTTTTTTAAAGAAAGTGTAGGTACATGTACATGCAACTATTTTACTGGCAGTTTCAGAACTGATACAGCTTTATACATGGGAACTGTCTACATTTCTTTACAGCTCAGGAGGACTTTCTTAACATACCTTTGTTTAATCTTCGGTTACTGATTCTTTGATAACAGTTTCTGGACAGTTAGTTGAGTGATTGCTATTAACCCATCCTGTATACATTAAATCAACATCTGTGATATAGTTTCAACATCTGTGATATAGTTTCAACATCTGTGATATACCCTACTTTCAACATCTGTGATATACCGTAGTTTCAACATCTGTGATATACTGGTTTCAACATCTGTGATATATAGTTCCAACAACTGTGATATATATTTATTCTGATTGTAAATAGTTCATTTATGTTGAAGATCTCTATTTCTAATTATGTTTATAAAAAGTAATTGAATTTTAATGATTAATGTTGGTTAAGTTTTTAATTATAACTTGTTGTTCATGTTGTTACTCCAATATAAAAAAAAAGGTACATGTACATTGTATCTTAAGTTATTAAATCATAAATTTTGTTTAAATACACTGTTATATTGTTTTATTGAAAATGCTTTTTGATATATACAGCTATAGATTATAAGATATAGCTATTACAATATGTAGATGTTTAACTAGTACATAAGAATTTTGCAAGTTAAAAGAAAAGGAAGGTTGAGATGAGGAGCAGCTTTAACTTTTGATCAATGCATTAAGAGACTTAATCTTAAAATGAAAAAACGTATTAAGGCATTTGGATTAGAAGTGCATCAATTCTGAAAGGTGTCAATGTTCAAAATTTGAGAGAACACCCTTGGAGAAAATTTTCACAATGGAAAACCTATTTCACACTTTCTCTCATTTTTTTATCTGGTATCATAATTTGTAATGTTTAAACATAAAACAGTTGATGTGGTATATATATACATACATGTATATGAATGAAACAGAAACCCAGCATAAAGAATATCAAAGATTGATTGGTGTTTGCTTTACTCTCAAGTCTGCATTAAAAAGTCAACATACAGTCTTTAACAATAGACAAATAGATAGATGGCGTAACAATATGTCGATTACAGGCAACTCTTGCAATCAACATCAAGATGAACACATTCAGTATTCAGTCATCAAACTTGTAAGCTGAGTATGTTTAATACATTTGTAACAGAGAAATTGCCAAAAAAACATGCCAGTACAGCATACCAAATCAACCACCCTATTATATTCTGTGTGTGTATCCCCCAAGTCAAGAGTATCATGGAACTTAGTGAGTTTTTTTGTTGCTGTATAGAATAGAATATTTAGTGACAGTCCTGTACCGATGAAATCGAAAGGGGACTTTAGGTTTGCACTCCGCCTGTCTGTCTGTCCATCTGTCAGTCCGGCAAATCAGTTTTCCACACTTTTTTCTTCATGCTTGAAAATATTGATTTGATATTTGGTATATAGTTTTATCATGGCAAGTTACAGATCAAGTTTGAATTATGTTCTGGTCTGATGATTTTATGCAGAGTTATGGTCCTTGGAATTAGAAAATTTACTTAAATAATCAGCTTTCCTCACTTATCTTTGCCATGCTGGAGTATATTGACTTTATATTTGATATATAGTTTACACCATGACAAGTTATAGATCAAGTTAGCATTTTGTTCCAGTACAATGAATTCTTAACAGGTAGTGGACTATGTATTGGCATAGTTGCCATGCAATACTCTCAGAAATGCTTGTTTTATTTAAAATTCCCAAACTTCAGAGCTCACAAATTACAGGTACATGTATAAGATATGTGTTTTGTGTTTGTTTGTTTGTACATTAATAAGGTCCATAGATTCATTGTTTGCATGTTTTACACTTTGTCTTATCAGGGCCTTTTATACATTTGTAACTGGCAATGTGGTATGGTGACACACAGTTGTGAATGTCTGTCAGAGGGGAACATAGTACATTTATGATAAATCCATAGACTTTTTACAAGTATCACTAGTACTCATAATGACTGAAAACCTGTTTTAAGAGGCTTCAAAATAGCCCTTTTACCTTTCTTGAACATACATTGTAACAACGAACTTGCATAAGGCAGTGACCAAAAAAGCGAGTCATAAAGAAAAAGGTTATATTTCAAGTATTATAATGACCGGTTTAAATTACATCAAAATCAGATGAACTTACAATCATTCAAAACAACAGATATAGTTAATGTGGACTTGGGAATCCTTTAAATGTATGTTCAATGAAAAGAATATTATCCACAAACAAAATGAAAATCAAGTATTAATGGATCAACATGGAAAATAAATAAAAACTAATGTTTACTTGTGAACTCTAAAAGGGTAAGCATTTCCATTTGACATTAAAAGAAATTTCAAGGGAACTTGTCATTTTTTTTAAGAAATTCCAAAACATCCCATTGGAATTAACTGTGGCACCCTAGTCCAGTTTACTTCATGTAGTATTGTTGAAATCATAGTACATATAGCAATGATGTTGTATTGACATGTACAGAAATTGATGTTATAAAGATAACATGAAACCTGAAGAGTCTGTGTTTTTGCTGTTTCTGTATAATCGACTACATTCATGAGCTGAAAGGCTACAATCAATGTCTGTTTTTTTTAAACCAGAAAACATATCAACAGATGTTTGACACAGGTATCATCATTTTTTTTTCTGTGCATATTTCATTTTTTTTTATAGGAATCTCAGATGAAAATCAGTAAAATAGCCATTTCAGGATTATCCAAATTTTCTACCCCTCCCCCTCCCATTCTGACTCGTCACTGCACTTCCCAGACTACCGCTACCCTCCCCTTGACTCCTGCTTACCAACATCTCATTCCCATATTCCCTAGTCCGATGTTGCTTTGGCGTCCGACGGCTGTTTTGTCCGAAAAGCATGTTACCTTGCCCCAGTTACCCCTCAAAATTTTATATGTTAAAGTTCAGTCTTTCTTCAGTTATTGTGATTGGATATGTTGCCGGTTCTTTTAAATTTGTTTTTTTAATACATTACCTTTTTATTTCATTGTTTCTTCGTGTAAACACCATTCTGTCCATTCTCCGGGTCATATTCAGGTAACATATTTATCTTGTCGATTACACAACTCGTGTTATTGTTTACATGTAAAAAGCGCGGGAAACTGTATCACATCAATGACACGGATATTGCCGGAGAGTAACGAATGTTATGTAAATAAAGGATCCTCATAGAAACCATGATGGCGGATTAACAATGTAAATAATCTTGAATAATGTGAAGGTCAGGATTATACAGTGCAAACACAATAAAAGGTAGGACAGTAGTGGATATTTGGAAAGGATTTTTATTCCGCTTATTGAAAAACGTCATCTCGAGTGAACGCGGCTGATATTTAAAAAAATTTCTACAAAAAACACGGTGCCAATTTTACATGACGGCGACTATAGTCGCCGTCATGTAAAATTGGCACCGTGTTTTTTGTAGAAATTTTTTTAAATATCAGCCGCGTTCACTCGAGATGACGTTTTTCAATAAGCGGAATAAAAATCCTTTCCAAATATCCACTACTGTCCTACCTTTTATTGTGTTTGCACTGTATAATCCTGACCTTCACATTATTCAAGATTATTTACATTGTTAATCCGCCATCATGGTTTCTATGAGGATCCTTTATTTACATAACATTCGTTACTCTCCGGCAATGTCCGTGTCATTGATGTGATACAGTTTCCCGCGCTTTTTACATGTAAACAATAACACGAGTTGTGTAATCGACAAGATAAATATGTTACCTGAATATGACCCGGAGAATGGACAGAATGGTGTTTACACGAAGAAACAATGAAATAAAAAGGTAATGTATTAAAAAAACAAATAAAAAAGAACAGGCAACATATCCAATCACAATAACTGAAGAAAGACTGAACTTTAACATATAAAATTTTGAGGGTTGAGGGTAACTGGGGCAAGGTAACATGCTTTTCGGACAAAACAGCCGTCGGACGCCAAAGCAATATCGGACTAGGGAATATGGGAATGAGATGTTGGTAAGCAGGAGTCAAGGGGAGGGTAGCGGTAGTCTGGGAAGTGCAGTGACGAGTCAGAATGGGAGGGGGAGGGGTAGAAAATTTGGATAATCCTGAAATGGCTATTTTACTGATTTTCATCTGAGATTCCTATAAAAAAAAAATGAAATATGCACAGAAAAAAAATGATGATACCTGTGTCAAACATCTGTTGATATGTTTTCTGGTTTAAAAAAAACAGACATTGATTGTAGCCTTTCAGCTCATGAATGTAGTCGATTATACAGTTATACAGAAACAGCAAAAACACAGACTCTTCAGGTTTCATGTTATCTTTATAACATCAATTTCTGTACATGTCAATACAACATCATTGCTATATGTACTATGATTTCAACAATACTACATGAAGTAAACTGGACTAGGGTGCCACAGTTAATTCCAATGGGATGTTTTGGAATTTCTTAAAAAAAATGACAAGTTCCCTTGAAATTTCTTTTAATGTCAAATGGAAATGCTTACCCTTTTAGAGTTCACAAGTAAACATTAGTTTTTATTTATTTTCCATGTTGATCCATTAATAATTGATTTTCATTTTGTTTGTGGATAATATTCTTTTCATTGAACATACATTTAAAGGATTCCCAAGTCCACATTAACTATATCTGTTGTTTTGAATGATTGTAAGTTCATCTGATTTTGATGTAATTTAAACCGGTCATTATAATACTTGAAATATAACCTTTTTCTTTATGACTGGCTTTTTTGGTCACTGCCTTATGCAAGTTCGTTGTTACAATGTATGTTCAAGAAAGGTAAAAGGGCTATTTTGAAGCCTCTTAAAACAGGTTTTCAGTCATTATGAGTACTAGTGATACTTGTAAAAAGTCTATGGATTTATCATAAATGTACTCTGTTCCCCTCTGACAGACATTCACAACTGTGTGTCACCATACCACATTGCCAGTTACAAATGTATAAAAGGCCCTGATAAGACAAAGTGTAAAACATGCGAACTATGAATCTATGGACCTTATTAATGTACAAACAAACAAACACAAAACACATATCTTATACATGTACCTGTAATTTGTGAGCTCTGAAGTTTGGGAATTTTAAATAAAACAAGCATTTCTGAGAGTATTGCATGGCAACTATGCCAATACATAGTCCACTACCTGTTAAGAATTCATTGTACTGGAACAAAATGCTAACTTGATCTATAACTTGTCATGGTGTAAACTATATATCAAATATAAAGTCAATATACTCCAGCATGGCAAAGATAAGTGAGGAAAACTGATTATTTAAGTAAATTTTCTAATTCCAAGGACCATAACTCTGCGTAAAATCATCAGACCAGAACATAATTCAAACTTGATCTGTAACTTGCCATGATAAAACTATATACCAAATATCAAATCAATATTTTCAAGCATGAAGAAAAAAGTGTGGAAAACTGATTTGCCGGACTGACAGATGGACAGACAGACAGGCGGAGTGCAAACCTGAAGTCCCCTTTCGATTTCATCGGTACAGGACTGTCACTAAATATTCTATTCTATACAGCAACAAAAAAACTCACTAAGTTCCATGATACTCTTGACTTGGGGGATACACACACAGAATATAATAGGGTGGTTGATTTGGTATGCTGTACTGGCATGTTTTTTTGGCAATTTCTCTGTTACAAATGTATTAAACATACTCAGCTTACAACTTTGATGACTGAATACTGAATGTGTTCATCTTGATGTTGATTGCAAGAGTTGCCTGTAATTGACATATTGTTACGCCATCTATCTATTTGTCTATTGTTAAAGACTGTATGTTGACTTTTTAATGCAGACTTGAGAGTAAAGCAAACACCAATCAATCTTTGATATTCTTTATGCTGGGTTTCTGTTTCATTCATATACATGTATGTATATATATACCACATCAACTGTTTTATGTTTAAACATTACAAATTATGATACCAGATAAAATAAAATGCTTCGCTGGGCGCAGCTTGATACGACCGCAGAGGTCGAACCCTGAACAGTTGGGGCAAGTATGGACACAACATTCAAGCTTGATACAGCTCTGAATTTGGATTGTGATTAAATATTTGACACAGCATAGGTTTCTGACACAGAAAGAATGTGGTCTAAGAACTTCAATTTTTTTAATTTACCTATTATGGTCCAATGTCCAAAATCAAAATACATGGTTAGATTCAGCATATCAAAGAACCCCATATATTCAATTTTTGTTGAAATCAAACAAAGTTTAATTTTGGACCCCAACTTGGACAAACTTGAAAACTGGTCCCATAATCAAAAATCTAAACACATGTTTAGATTCAGCATATCAAAGTACCCGAAGAATTCAATTTTTGTTAAAATCAAACTAAGTTTAATTTTGGACCCTTTGGACCTTAATGTAGACAAATTTAAAAAACGGGACCCAAAATTAAAAATCTAAAAACACGGTTAGATTTGGCATATCAAAGAACCCCAATTATTCAATTTTTGATGAAATCAAACAAAGTTTAATTTTGGACCCTTTTGACCTCAATATGAACCAATTTGATAGCGGGCCCACAAATAAAAAATCTAAATACATGGTAAGATTCAGCATATCAAAGAACCCCATATATTCAATTTTTGTTGAAATCAAACAAAGTTTAATTTTGGACCCCAATTTGGACCAACTTGAAAACTGGGCCAAAAATCTAAAATCTAAATACATGTTTAGATTCAGCATATCAAAGAACCCCATATATTCAATTTTTGTTGAAATCAAACAAAGTTTAATTTTGGACCCCAACTTGGACCAACTTGAAAACTGGTCCCATAATTAAAAATCTAAACACATGTTTAGATTCAGCATATCAAAGAACCCCAAAAATTCAATTTTTGTTAAAATCAAACTAAGTTTAATTTTGGACCCTTTGGACCTTAATGTAGACCAATTTAAAAAACAGGACCCAAAATTAAAAATCTAAATACACAGTTAGATTTGGCATATCAAAGAACCCCAATAATTCAATTTTTTATGAAATCAAACAAAGTTTAATTTTGGACCCTTTTGACCTCAATATGAACCAATTTGATAGCAGGCCCACAAATAAAAAATCTAAATACATGGTAAGATTCAGCATATCAAAGAACCCCATATATTCAATTTTTGTTGAAATCAAACAAAGTTTAATTTTGGACCCCAATTTGGACCAACTTGAAAACTGGGCCAAAAATCTAAAATCTAAATACATGTTTAGATTTTGCATATCAAATAACCCCATATATTCAATTTTTGTTGAAATCAAACAAAGTTTAATTTTGGACCCCAACTTGGACCAACTTGAAAACTGGGCCCATAATCAAAAATCTAAACACATGTTTAGATTCAGCATATCAAAGAACCCCAAGAATTCAATTTTTGTTAAAATCAAATTAAGTTTAATTTTGGACCCTTTGGACCTTAATGTAGACCAATTTAAAAAACAGGACCCCAAATTAAAAATCTAAATATACGGTTAGATTCGGCATATCAAAGAACCCCAATAATTCAATTTTTGATGAAATCAAACAAAGTTAAATTTTGGACCCTTTGGACCTCAATGTGGACCAATTTAAAAACGGGGCCCAAAATCCAAAAACTTAATACACGGTTAGATTCAGCATATTAAAGAACCCCAAGAATTCAAGAATAAAACCCCATTGAAATTGATCAAGAAATAAGCAATTTATACGAAGTATCTTCTTTTGCACAACACTGTGCAATTGAATATTTCTTGCTATTGCGCAATACTGTACAATTGACAATTTCTTGCTATTGCGCAATATTGTGCTATTGGATATTTCTTGCTATTGCGCAATACTGTGCAATTGAAGATTTCTTGCTATTGCGCAATACTGTGCAATTGAAGATTTCTTGCTATTGTGCAATACTGTGCAATTGAAAATTTCTTGCTATTGCACAATACTTATTATATAATAATTTACACATCCTGTTTGGTGTGTATCTCCTACCATATCATTATTATTTGCTTTTAAATATAAATCAGAAATAATCAACTTAAAATGGAAAATTTTAAAAGAAAAAAAAAAAAAAAAAAAATCTCCCCCCCCAAATTTTTTGAACCCCCTTATGATTCATCACCCCCAAATTCAATCCTAGCCTTCCCTTTGTGGTATGGTACCTTGCAGTACAATTTCAGAGAGATCCATACACTTGAACACAAGTTATTGTCTGGAAACTAGAAAAATGCTTATTTTTGGCCCCTTTTTGGCCCCCAATTCCTAAACGTTTCGGGCAATTACCCCCAAACTCAATTCCAGCTTTCCCTTTGTGATATGGAACCTTGTAGTACAATTTCAGAAATATCCAAACACTTACACACAAGTTATTGTCATGAAACTAGAAAAATGCTTGTTTTTTGCCCCTTTTTTGGCCCCTAATTCCTAAAATATTGAGGCAATTACCCCCAAAATCAATTACAGCCTTCCCTTTGTGATATGGAACCTTGTGGTACAATGTCAGAGAGATCTATACACTTACACACAAGTTATTGTCTGAAAATTACAAAAATGCTTATTTTTGGCCCCTTTTTGGCCCCTAATTCCTTAACTGTTGGTACCATAACCCCCAAAATCAATCCCAACCTTCCTTTCGTGGTATTGAACCTTATGGTGAAATTTCATGGAGATCCATTCACTTAAACTAAAGTTAGAGTGCGAAAACCAATGTGTCTTCGGACGACGCCAGACGACGCCGGACGACGACGACGACGACGACGACAACGACGACGACGACGACGACGACGCCAACGTCATACCAATAT